CTTTATAGCAGTCATCTTCTTTGGGTTGATTTCAATGTCTCTTTGGTTAATCATGAACCTAATGAACTTTCCCGATTGTACCCTAAAGGTGCGCTTGGCTGGGTTGAGCTTCATGCGGTAGCGTCGGATGACAGAGAATGTCTCTTCCAAATCTAATATGTGGGTCGACGCCTATCTTGACATCGTAGGGAGGTCATCCACATAGGCCTCCAGAATACGTCCGATCTGGGGCTTGAAGATCTTATTGACAAATCTAGAGTGGCCCCAGCGTTCTTGAAACTGTACGGCATTAACCTGTAGCAATAGGTCCCATGGTCGATGATGAAAGAGTTCTTCTCCTGGTCACGTTTCACCATAAAGATTTGGTTGTAGCTGGAGAAGGTGTCCATGAACACTGAGTAGCTCATGTCACGCGCTCTCGTCGACCACTTGATCGATCCATAGGAGAGAATAACTATCTTTAGAACAGACTTTGCTGAGGTCGGTGAAGTCCACAAACATCCTCCATTTGTTCAGTCATTTTCACGAACACAATGTTGGCCAACCATTCCGGGTACTATACTTCCTAAATGAAACCAACTCTAAGGAGTCGTTCAACTTCATCAGCGGCCACCTTCTGTCTCTCAAGGCCGAGATATCTCTTCTTCTGTCGAACTGGCTTAGTGTGTCGGTCGACTGCCAACTCGTGGCTTATCACTTCGGGGGGCATATCTTCAGGTCCTCAGACGAATACATCAGTGTTCGCCAACAAAAACTCAATCAAAGCTGCTCGTAAGGGCTCTATGAGGCAAGATCCGATCTTGACCGTCTTCTTGCCTTCTCGATCAATCGATACTTCCTGTAGCTCTTCCACTGGAGTCGTCCTCTGGCGCTACGTTACCTTCTCCATCTGGAGACCGACCTTCTCAATAGGCAGGGTCTCTTGCACCCCATTGCCCTTAGCTGAGAGCAGGTAACAGGATCTGGCCTTTGATTGCTCCTGACGACTCCAAATCCATTAGGAGTCGGGAACTTCAGCATCTGGTGATAGTTGGAAGGGATGGCCCGTAAGATGTGGAGGACAGTTCGGTCCAAGATGACATTATGGGTTAATTTGAGGTTCATCACAAAAAACTGGACCTGGATAGTAGTTGGAAGGGATGGCCCGTAAGATGTGGAGGGCAGTTCGGCCCAAGATGACATTATGGGCTAATTTGAGGTTCATCATCAAGAACTGGACCTGGACAGTGGATTGGTGGGGATATTCTCCGATCATTAGGGAGAGAGTGATCATCCCTTCGGGCAGGAAGGAATGTCCATTGAATCCAATAAGGGGGCCTCTACATGGCTGCAGTCAAAACTTGTCGATGCTCATCTAGTTGAAGGCATCCATATACAGGACGTCCACAGAGCTCCCTGTGTCGACCATGATTCTCTTCACCTGAAAATTATTAATCCCTACTATTATGACGATAGGGTCATCATGGGGCGTCTCAATACTCTTTAGGTCGGCATCACTGAAGGAGATGGGCTCTTCTGCTCTCGCCTTCTTGTCACATACATCGACTCGTAACGCTCGCTTGGCATACATCTTCAAAGCGTTATTAGATGACCCTCCAGCTATGGAGCCGCCACTGATAGTATTGATGACCCTTTATGGCTAGGCTTGGGGTTTCGACTGTGGAGCCGCCACTGATAGTATTGATGACCCTTTATGGCTAGGCTTGGGGTTTCGACTGTCCTGCTGTAGTTGGAGGTGAGGTGATCGCGAACGAGACCTCCTATCGGCCTGGTTGGGGCGACTTCTCTTCTATCTCTCTAGAAGACAAGCTTTCTTTAGATACCCCCTTTGTATTAAGTCTTCTATGTCCCTCTATAGAATTCGATAGTCATTGGTAATATGGTCGTGATCCCTATGATATCAACAGTACTGCCTAGTATCTCTGCTCTGAGGGTCCGACCTCATCTTAGGAGGGGGCTCATTGAGATGTCTCTCCTTCTGAACCATGTTGAGGGCTTCGGCTAGAGAGGTGTTGAGGACTGTGAGAGCGAGTTTGGGCGTCGGCTCCCTCCTGTCCTTCCTGTCGGACCAATTAGAGCGGGAGTCGACTCTCGGGGGTCTCTCTGCCACTTACCTTGTCGGGGGGCTCCTAGTTGGCTCGGGCATCTGCGCTGCTGTCGGAGCCGCTACAGATGTCAGCGGGGTAGGTGCAGATGCTGTTGCCACCGTTGCTGGCGTTGGTGTTGCTGCCGTGGAGGCTTCGACTGCCCTAGATGTCGTCTTATAAGCTCGAACATCCTTCATGTCCATGTACCCGTGAGTTTTCTCCATCAACTGCTCATAATTAGCGGCTGATTCTTGGTTAGTGAGTTGGCTAGTTCATTATTCTGTAGGTCGGCTACAAGGGCAGACATAGCGATCGCACTCCCTGGGTCGTTAACCTCCAGCCTCTTCGCCTCGAACCTCTTGAAGTAGGCTCGAATGCTCTCCGTAGGCTCGAATGCTCTCCCCAAGCTCCTGTCTCATCTGTATCAACACATGAGGAAGCTTCTGCTTAGTGTCGACCAGGAAGTGGTGAACAAGCTTAAGGCTGAGCTATTCGAAGCTGTTGATGGATTTCTTCTCGAGAGCGTTCTACTAGAGCTTGACGCTCATGACAAAGTAATAAGGAAGCACCGACAATTGATTGCTTCAGGCGCCTGAAGCATGCTCATCATATCATAGTAGTTCTGGACATGCTCGACAAGGTCTCCTTCGCTCATGTACTTCTCCACGTGAGGCATCTTGAATTTCTTACATGGAGCATTCATGATGTTGTCGGTAAAGGGGTATTCACCTCGATGGCTTCGACAACAGGTCGGTACACCATATCATATCCCGACGCCCCATGGGTGGCTGAGGGGACTGGAATAGCATGCTGATGATGGGAAGTCTTCGACATTCCCCCCGCGACATGCTCCTTATGGCGACTCGAACTAGGGCTCTCGCCGGTGGCTTCTGGGTACTAGGGGAGACGCCGACGAGGATCTGCTTGGCGGGTAGATTAGTACAACGGTGAGGTTACATGTTCGACACAATCCTTAAGATGCTTGGCGGTAGCATGATAAGTCCGAGGTGGGACCACTTGCTACGCCTCTGAAGGGGGATGAGTCGCTGAGGGGTGATCGCCTGAGGGAGGAGGAACAGTAGAGTTAGCTTGTTATGATGGTAGGGACCGGCCAAGGTTTTAAATATCGGTTATCGGGGATTTATCGGACAACCAAAATCCTTATCGAATAGCGGAAATCTGGAATATATCGGGGATAAGTAATATTTATCGGAGTGATGTACCGGATGGTGTATATATATAATATAATAACTAAAAAATATAATTTAACCATGCTTAACGAAATATAAACATACCAAAATGTGAATCATCATGTTTAGAATCACCAACTAATTGTAGAAAGCGGGTCGGGTCGGGTTTAAAAACTCAACAATCCAACTCAAAATGTCCGGCCGATAATCCCGATAATTAAGCCTTACTTATCGGCCGATAAGTGCCAATAACTCGCCGATATACTCTCCAAAACGATAACCGATTATAAAACCAACTTATCCTAGCAGAGAGCTCTCAAATCCGATAACTCGGCCGATAATATCGATAACTAGACCGATAATATCGATTATCGGCCGATATTTAAAACAATGGGACCGGCTGAGGAGCTCGCTGGTGAAGGTTGCGAGCTGCTGTTGGAGGGAATGGGAGGTCTTCTGAGCAACCTCCTCGAGTTGGGCTTGGGTGACATAGCCCTGATGCGGTCCTCTAGGGGTGGATGGATCAACTCTTCGCTTAGAACCAGACATGCTTGCTCGAAAAAAAGAGAAGGCTCTACGGTGGGCGCCAAATAGTTGAAGTTAGATAATCACACAGATAAGTTAGTCGGGATAACACTGATCAGGGGCTGCTAATTTATATGAATATCTGGTTTTGAGTAGAGTTGTTCCATGCACGTTCAACAACTCGTAAAAGTGCGGGGTCTGGTTCCCCCGTTGTTCAAGATCAAGTTAGCTAGTTACTTGAGTGGGAAAGCAGCGAACTATAGCAACTCTTAAGTGCAGTGGAATGAAAAAAAAATGCTGAGAAAATTGTTTACCCTTATGTTGAGAATAGTTTCCCCTTTTATGGCAACGAAGGAAGGGCATTTTGGTCTCTTCGTCCGAGTCAAGACTGACGGCTGAGTTAGCTTCAACTTTACTAGTGTCGACCGCGGAGTGGGCGTGGTCAATTCGGCATTTAATGAGATGGGATAGGCGGCGTGCGAAGCCGACGTGGTCCGATGTACCATAAATAGTATTGGGGATGAAGGAATGATGGCGCATGTCACGCATTTAATATGATGTCGACGCGCTATCAGGGAGGGGCTCGAGGTCATAGTCGCCTTTTGTCTCGTATGAAAATGTACCGAGAGGTGCCGCCTTTCGAGTAGACTTTCGTGAGATGTCGGCTAGATAATTAGTCGAGTAGGCTTACAGCGAGTCATCTTCGGCGAGAGGGGCCGCAAGTACCACCTTTCAAATCGACTCCGGCGAGGTGTTAACTCGGCGAGTTGACTGAATCGGGACTTTGGCTATTCCAAGCGTCGAGTCGGCCGAATTAGGCGTAATGACGGATCCTAATCTTGGCGATTGAAAACACCATAACCCTAATATATATTAACTAACTCTAACACAAAACTTTATTGCTAGAAGTCAAGCTCTAATAATACATAATATAAATGAAGATCAACCTTTAATAATACATGCATAATAAAAACACACATGATCTCACTATAACTGACTTATGAATCTCCATAGTTGTATCTTTATTGAAAAGAACCCATAAGGTTAAGATAAAAAAGAATCATCATGGGACATGCATTAGGCACGGTACAAAAATACATTTAAGTTGACTTTAAAACTAGAACAACATGTAGACATACTTCTCGAAAGACATGAATGCCAGCTTTGGTATGATAAAGGGAATCCGCTCAGAAATTACCTTTGACTGTAATCTTGTACCCATTTGAGCACTTCCCACACCATCAGAACAACTATGTACCTCGGCTTCCTTATTTACTGAAAATGGAGACCCTGATAAAGATGGATGAGCACTATCCTTCTGCAAGGATGTTTTAGCGAAAACTTTAGCACGATTTGATTCATTTGTGATGGATCTCCTTGTAGGAATGTACTCAGTTTCCGGATCACTGCCATCAGATAATTGTGATCCATACCGTCTTGATTTTTTAGAACTTGAACCAGGTAAACTTCCTCTTCTGTGATCCCCTGACTTAGCCGACACAAAGGGCAATCCACTAGATTTTGCTGTCTTAATAGAGTATGAAATATAAGCATTCTTCCCAGAAATACGTGATGATGGCACTGAAGGAGATTCGGGTGAGCTTCCTGTAAAAGAAAGTTCACGACAGGTTCAGAAACCACAGAATAGTAAAGAGCACACCCATAATGAAAATGAACAAGAAATAGTTACAAAATCATAGAATAAAGGTCCTAATTAGATAAAACTGATCTTTAGGTACCTCTATCATCTGAGTCATTCTGTTTCTTATTACGCCTTGGAGCATAGCCAATTTTGTGACATTTGGTTGACCTGAATGCACCAATATTTATTATCTGACATAACTCAACCAATTGCTTTCACATCTCTACAGATCAGAGACAAGGAAATGCTAAGAACATACCAATATGTCTTCTGCATCTGAATCAGTCGTGCTTCAAGTCTTGAAAGAACAGTCGTCCGCTCAAAACCTTGCTTATCATGAGCCGGTTCAACAAAATTGGCCTCCAGAACACCTGTATTGGATGCTATTTAGAAGAAATTTGTCCTTTGAGATGGTAAAGCACAGCAAAATAGACAACTGGCAAATAACGTACCGATAACCCCACGTCCATCACTTCCAGCAGCATTCCAAACCCTCCAAAATGGCTTGACAAGGACACACAGATATAAAGAATATAAGGCAAATTGCAAAGAAATATTTAGCATTGTGAAGAATGATGGTTACTCAATTTTATTTTCCAAATTCTGTTCTATTAAATATACTGTGGAACATGTAATAATGTGAGTAAATACTTACCTGTCTCTTAGAATTTGGAGATTTATCTACTATATTAAAAGAAAAAAATTCAAGAAACCATTATTATACCTTTATTAGTCGATTCTTGTGGTAAACATTAAATCCTTGAACATCAACGTGATGTTTTGCATCCTTAACAAAGCCCATTGTCACAGTAGCAACCATCTACAAGAAAGTATTACCGTCCATTTTATATATATGTTGATAAAAAGCAAACAAACCAAGTCCTTGAAGACGAATTACATCTGAAGACTTCAGAACTCCATCCGCACCCGGTTGCGGCCTGTAAGAGACAGTGTCCTTTAACATCATATCGTTCACAAGGTTGTGGTGTTCGACCTCTTTACCACGAAGAATCATCCTAAAGCCATGCGGAACTCTAAGATAGAGAATCGAGGCATAACTCTGCAGATAAAAAGAAATTATATTATGATCTGAAGGATGTAACAATCACATGCACAAAAGACTATTTCATCCAAAATCCCTACCAAAGTTTACAATAAATGCTAGAACAACCTGCCATGTGAATCCTACTGGCTACACAAGGCACAAAACCAAATGGCATGAAAAAAAAGGCCATGCAGTCGTGTTCTGATGAAATTAAAAAAAATCATAAGTAGCTAGATTTTGAAGCAGGAGACACCCTCCGTTTAACCATGAGATGAGGTTATAAATTTCTTGTTCCGAAGAAAATTAAATTAAATGTTAGAAGGATGTAATTAAAATGGGAAGATATTCCTCAAAATATTTAGCTAGAACTTATATTCATTTACCCATATATCCATTTACTGAAAACTTGTACATAATATAGTATGAAAAGCTGAAACTTAATATATATAGGAAACAAGCAAATTAAGTATGCAGTGATTCAGTTTCTAATCTAAATAACCATGTTCCTCCTCAGAGGTATTCATATTCCACTTGTGTTTCAAGATCTTGTAATTTAAGAAGGTAAAAGTACCTTTAAGAGCTAAAAAGAAGAAACTATTGTGCTAAATCTTGAATAATTGAATAAGCATAATAAAGAAAACAATTTTATTCATTTAACAAGAAGAAAGAAGCTATGATAGAAGTACATTTTGTTACACGTCATGAACTTTCCCTTCTCATCTTTTTGTTTCAAGTTCAGTGAGTCGAAGACTAACTTGTTCTGCTTTTTTTTGTAATATTTTTTTTATCCAAATTCATTTTTTAAATATTTCCAGCTAATAAATCTAGAGTCTAGAGCAGAGGCAGAGATGGATTTGGATTCTCTCAGAGTCTGCTTTGTCAATGACAAACATCAACTAATATGTAGACACATCCTATATGAAAATATTATAAGCCTACCTCTTAATTTAGGCATTTTCAAGGTATTAGGAGAATTTGGAGGTTGCCGTTTGATTGCAAAACCTTAGCCAAATAATCAACAATTTGGCATTGAAGATTCATAGGATAAGCCTGTTAGTTCATAACTGACCAGACCAAAAAATTGGCAGATAGATATCAGATCAAATTGTGCATGATCATTTGTGTGTTCAGAGGATTTCCCATAACAAATCTCTGCATCTGCAATCTGTTTCTAAATTTAAAATAACTATCAAGTATACCTGACTTATAAGATGTTATCAAAGAAATAAAAAGAAATTCTCCCTAGCACTTATTGACCATCCCCAACAACAGGACTAACAAGAGATTTTAATCAATAGTTAAGCTAAATAGCCCTTATTAAACTAGATTTTACTTATTTTTTTAATTGCCGTATTACTCTCAGGTTTCTTTCACTTATATGTTTCATAGTGTTGGACAAACTATGTGGCCAAAGGTATAGACATACAGTTTACAACAAGTTTCTCAAAACATAAGATTTGTCTTGTTCTTTTCTTCTTGAAACACTTTGCACCATGGTGCTGTACATAGACAAAACCTTTCCTTCAATGGGCTTGTTAATTCTCAAACTATTTGCAGCAATTAACTTATATAAAATTATACATGTGAAAATTATGACACAGAAGTCATTCTGTGTTCAAATTGAAGACCAATAACGCTCAAATATACAAATCGTATTAACAGGCATCCTCAAAAGATCACAATATTAAGTTGCAACTAGGAACAAAAGATATATGGCTTAAAGAAGAAACAGAAGCGTCTTAATGAGCAAAAATTGTCATGCACTATGCAAATTAAAATCCAGAGTGCAAGCTGAAATATAATATCTAAATTACAAACAAAGGGAATGAGAAACGAAATGTTTCCTGTATTTGTTTCCTCCAAGCATCAATAAATGGTAAAATGGACACTTTCAGCTCTTTATTTTCAAGTCACATGATACGTGTACGTTTAGAAGGGCTAGGGAGCTTGGAGGATAAGAGAGTTTTTGGACCATTTTGTTTCATCCCCCATAGTTGCCCCAGTGAATTGTTCTATGATGGAGTTCTTCACTAGCTTCTAAAATCTAGAATGTCCTTCCATTTAGACTAGGCCTGTAAAAACATGGTTACGCCCGTCTCAGAAGGGCCAAAAAACCAAGTGCAAGTTTGGTCTGGGCTTATAGTGGAAATTCCAGACCACTATTGGGGTTGGGAAGTTCAATTATCGTAGATCACATCTAGTGGTTTGAATTTTATCATTCTCACGAGTCCTAAAGCGTACTTAGCTCCACATAATTATATCCAGAAAGTACTATCAATTTGCAGAGGGGAAAGCTCATCGCGGTCCTATAAACAAATAAATACACAAATTACCCGTAATGAATGACGATATGTTAAGAAATGTCTGGAGTTTGGAAATTGTCTAGCCATTTCAATTTTTTTCTCATCCCGATTGACACCACCAAGCTGAATATCCTGCCATTTAAAACGTTACATCAAGTCAGCATTGGAAATACTAGTGAATCAATGATTGATTAAAAAGAGAGATGGTTCAATGTAGTCATCAAATATAAATCACAATATCATTAAATAAACAAAGTAAGAAACTTGATTATAATCCCAACATTTACGAAAACAGTTCTTAAAATAAAACGCAGCAGTTCTTAAAATAAAATGCAGCAGAAATAACTTTCATATCTTAGCTACAGAATCTCATACATGTTCGTCGGTGTCAAAGTCAAGCTCTAGCTCTCCTTGGTCATCTTCCCATAGATTGTATATGACTATTCGAGTCCCTTGATCACTCATTGAGTTCAGCTGATGAAAAAAAACAATAGTTAGTGACAATGGAGTCAAAAAAGTAAGATGAGACTACAGGTCTACATACTATGTCATCTGAATCGAAAATTGATGAGTAGATAATAGATGATCAAAGACTACAATTAGGATGTTCTACTCACTACTCAGGATGATATATATACAAAAAATATCTAATGACCAAGAATTTCAGCCAAAGATGAAGAAAATGTGATCTTGCATCAGTTTGGAGGATACAACATCATCTAAGGTTTACTCATTTTGCAACTTGACGACCAATGAAAAGGCATTCCAATTGAGTGTTGCCTAGCAATAATGTTTTATGGATAAGCTTATGTGATTAGACAATTAAAACGCTGTATTCACTGCTTCAGTGCCTCGATAAACACAAATACTTAGTTAGATAATAGCTTAACAACATCGCGTATTCACATGAATGACATCAAGATGTCGCCCACTAAAAGTGGGGTGAAAGTATTAGCATTCATGATCATTTTACACACAATAAACATGGGCTTATATAACAACATATATTGACAGTTGTCACATAGATCGATGATAATCGATATTTTCTTCCTAATAAGATCCTCCTGTTTAAAGTCATGTCATCTACTAAGTTCTTCTAAATTGATGACCCTCGATTCCTATCCTTCACTGTTTATCTCATCATTACTCAGTTTTCTCCATTGATGTCCCAGATATCTTTCCCTTTTCCTGCCCGATCTCGTTATTAGATTGGTTTTTCTATGTCGATATTGATCATTTACCGTCTATATCATCGGCTTGTGATATTCATCGAGACTTAAGACTAGCTCCCTGACATCTGTCCCTTCATACTGGATGTTTTTGGATTTTTCATTTCCAACCTCGAGCTTGTCCTAGCCAACCAACTTGAGTTTGTGCAGGATGTTAGCCTATCATTATTAGTAGAATATTGTGGTTTGATTATCACACGTGTTGCTAATCAAGGATAATTGTAAGCATTATCCCTCGATTGCACATGTTAATTCTCGATTATAGCACACATGCTTGATTGTAGAAGTCAATGTTCATTGTATGGAACAAGATCATGAAATGCTAACACGACGTTCTTTATAACTGAAAGTAAATACAAGAATTACAAAGTTTCTTCCAGGAAGAGCCTTTCCAAAAAGTCACTGGTCTAGCTTGGAGTACCAAATTTGAATACTTCAATTTAAACACGACAAGGCTTTTACATAAAATACAAGGTTTTTTTAATGCTAAAAGCCAAGAGCTTATTAGATATACAAAAAAAAGAACCAGATTTATTTCTAGGACAAATTTTCAAAACCAACCCTTTTTAAGATTTATTTTCAAAAATAAACCTATTTGAGATTTATTTAGCCTTTTCGACATAGTTTCAGCCAGCTGGCTGAAACTGCGTAAAAAATACGAAATAAGTTGCTAAAACTTCACGGAATTTATAATCACGTATAGTTAGCAGGCAATTAAACTACACGGGATTCTCAATCCCATATAGTTTAGAATTAGGCTAAACTCCACGGGATTGTGAATCCCAGGGAGTTCAATATATAATTTTAAGTTTAAATCTAATATAATTGCAATAGTTGGCTGAGTAGTTAGCTCAAAAAAAGCTAAACTTCAATCATTCAAGTGGTCTTAAGTTCGAATCACATCCCAACATATTTTTTCCCTTGAACAGTAAAAAAATTTACTTGGTTGGGATTCGAACCTTGCGCTTCCCATCCAAGCCTTATAGGGAAATGTTATAACCACTAAACCCACTACACATAATTGCTTATTTTGTGTAGTTGCTTATTAAACTTTACGAGATTCTAAATCCCATGAAGTTTGGTAGCAGACTACCACCTGCACCAAGCTTTTTTATTTGCACTTATTAATTAAGGACTAAATTTCCCAGGATTCTAAATCCCTTGAAGTTTTCGCAACTTATTTAGCATTTTCAACCTAACTTCAGCTGGCTGAAACTAGGTCGAAAATGCTAAATAAAAGATTAATAGGTTAATTTTTGAAAATAAAGTTCCAAAAAGGTTGGTTTTGAAAATTTGTCCTTATTTCTATTCAGCGTATTGATAGTGATCGCCCACTGAGTTTGAAGTATATTGAAGACATTTATAGGAAATCTTGATTTCACTTTAATCCTTTCCAATGCATGGAACATATTCCAAGTAAATAATACAAACACCTCAAATGAAACAACTTCAGCTTCTCTAAATTACATAATTTCAGGAGCTAGCACCGTCACATGTTGTGAGTGAGGTTAGAATGCATAATGTTGGGAAAGCAACTTGATACCAGCTACCACTTTGTTCCTGAACAAGTCATGAACAAGAAGATCTGTCCCCACATACATTCAGAAGATCAGACTGCTGCTCAATTTATTAAGTTTATATGTTTTTCTACATTTCCTACTTTGACATGAGAGAAATGCTTATGACATGAGACATATATGGAAAAAAATGGAATTGATCTTAAAATTGGCTGTCAAGAAAGAAATGCTTATGACTCACATATCATTGACTTGACAGCCTATTTTCTAAAATGGGTTGTGAACTCACATGTAGTGCCCTCTATATATCTAAAGAGGAATATGGGTATCCTTGGTACCCAAGACCAAAGTTGGTCTTTGGTAGTGAGATGACCAATTTTCATACACTCATTCAATGGGCAAGCAATTAAATGGGGGCTATTTTGAAGTGGACACCTTAAATGTACAAATCAAAAGTGGCCACATCACTACCGAGTAGGGGTGGAAAACGACAGAATTGAATCGATTACTGCAATGTCCAAATTCAAATTCGATTACTTTCGTCGAATTTGAATTCGAATTTTGGTCGAATACCTATTTAGTGTTTGAAATCTCAAATCGAATAGGCTTAAAATGTATTAATGCGGTAACTAGTTGAAGATGTTTGAATAGCCCAGTTGGTAAATCATTGTCACCAAGCAGATGATCCTTAGTTCAAGCCATAGTTACATAGTACGCGGTACGTAGCAGGTCACGATATGAATTAGGGTACACAATTCGCCACGTAGAAAATTTAAATTCGTGAGGGGGTAGCTTGCTTCGGTACGCAAGCTTGGTTAGTGGTACATTGTAAATTTTTTAGGGTGCGCTTAAAGTTTTCCAAAGTGTATAGTAGAAAACTAGAAATCTATTTATGAATTTTAATTTTTTTCATACAAAATACTAAAATACTTCTTTTAGATGGTATTTGTTTCTTTGTTTTGTGTTTTTTTTTTCACAGATCTCGTTTTAGGATCATGGTTTTGTTTTACATCTAATTAATATATGTGTTTAGTTATAGTAAAGCAATCGGCTCATACACTCTATTGTGTGGCTCCCTTCACTTAATTGCACACATTGCATTGCGTCTTGTGCACATGGACTTAAAAGGACTTTGCAACTAGCATACTTGTAAGTAGTACATCAATTTTGGGGAACTCGTTCATGTATCAGAGGGAATCGATTCGTAAATGTACCGGAAATTTGTTCGCAGGAACTGTACGATGGCTTGAGTGGGGTCCGAGGAGTTGCGCAACTATGGTTCAAACCTCCTTTTGGACATTTTAATATGTAAATTTACTACTTTTTACTTCTTACTCTAATTATCTAGTATAGAACAAAAGCCATTCCTCCTAATTAAATAGCATTATTCACAAAATTTTAGAAAAATGAATGGACAAGAACTACAATATTTTGTATAAGGCTATTTATATAAAAATAGAACTTATTGGTAACATTTAATCTAATAATCCTATTAATTCATTATGCTAGATCTATTTATTTAATTATATATTAACACAAGAAAAACATATACACAAAATAAAACTCAAGGATCTATTTATCTATGCATTTATATGGGATATGATTTATAATAAAATTTTGGATGAATAATATTTGTAGTAAGTTAATAGACAAAAACTACAATATTTTGTATAAGGCTATTTATATAAAAATGGACCTTATTAGTAATTTTAATATAATTATCCTACTAATTCATTATGTGGGAATCGTTTTAGCATTAGATCTATTTGTTTATTTATATATTAAGGCAAGAAAAACATAAATTTATATAAAATAAAACTCAGTGATCTATTTATGTATGCATTTATATGGGATATGATTTATAACAAAATTATGGATGAATAATATTTGTGTACGTTAAATTCATGGGACTAAAATGTATAATATAATTGAATAATTAATAATCAATTGAATCAAATATACTTTCGGTTAAAGTCTACTCATTTATGAACCAAATACAAAAAAATATTCGTTTACTATTAAATTAACTATCGAATCGAATATGACCAAATATCTGGACAAATAATAACTGAGTTGTTTGTTAATTATTTGGTTCACTTCCATCCCTACTACAAAAAACCAATTTTGTCATGCCAAATACACTCATTTTTCTCTCTCTCTCTCTCTCTCTCTCTCTCTCACATATTTGAGAACAATGGGTATGCTTGGTATGAAACATCAAATTTGGTGTTTAGTAGTGAAGTGATCACTTCTCACCCACTCATTTAATGGGTGAGTACATAAGTAGGGACCATTTTCAAGTGGACATCTTTAAATGTGTAGATGGAAATGAGCCACCTCACTATCAAGCACTAAATTTGTGCTTGGTACCATGCATACTCATTATATATATGTCTATGTACCATGCATACTCATTATATATATACATACATACATATATGTCTATGTATATGTGTGTGTGTGTATGTATGTATACACACACACATATACATAGACATATATGTATGTATGTATGTACGTATGTATATATATACACATACATACATACATACATGTCTATGTGTATGTGTGTGTATGTCTATATATGTCTATATATATGTCTATATATGTCAATGTATGTGTGTCTATATATATAGACACACATACATAGACATACATACATAGACATATATATATGTATATATATGTGTGTGTAGAGAGAGAGGAATTCCTAAGGAGGCACCTTAGATTCAGTCAAGGGACGCATTTTCAGAATTACATTATATGCAATCAATTTACTTTATCCACTCTGTTGACCTATATGTTTTGGATGGTATATAAATAAATTAGGCATATTGGATTATAGTTACTCATGCATCAAGTGATTATAAAATTAACGGTATTATGACAATAAAAAATATGTATTATAAATATTTTTATAAAGTTGCCTAATTTTTCACCTCTTGATAGATGATCTTAAATAAATAAAAATCCCTTGAAATTTTGTTCCTAATTAGCTCATTTGTAGTAGATCACATCCATCGGTTTGTATTTTTATTTTCTAACTCTAAAATTTTAAAATTGGGTTAACGATATTCACATGTTGTATACTATTAATAGTAGTCTAACTCAACTATAACTAAAGCTTGTGTATAACAAAACCATAACAAACCCAATTCCATCCAACCAACCCCACTCCAACCTAACCGAACCCAAACAGCTATGTGCTTGTGGTTCTCTAATGATAGACAAGATAGCTATGAATATGCCAGTCACATCATCATAGTACTAGTACATAAATATAGGATCAAAGGTACATTCCGAAATAAGGCATCATAATTTTCAGTCACAAACATAGTTGCATGGAACCCGGTTCATTCCAGTTCATGGGACATGTACCAAAGCGTGGTACGCCATTCATTAGGAATCGGGTACAAAGGGTACGCTTATGTGTTACGCAGGGAATGTGGTACTGGTATGTTTTAGGTTCAATTCTTGATGTAAGAATTAGATGTTTTGTAAGAGTCAAATATTAGAAATATGCTAGTTGATATTAGTAACGGTAAAAGAACCCTTGGGAAGCATGTTGAAATTAAGGTATGCATGCTTTCATCGTTTAATTTCTCAAGTTTTTTGTAGTTTATTCTCTTGAATAAGAGTTATTCTTTTTTCTAACTTTAAACTAGTTTGAACTCTAAATCAAGTCGCCAGAGTTGGTGAATCGAGTAGTGTTCCAGTGTAAATCCGAGACAATTGAGCCAGGGTTCACTATAGCATCCCACGTTCATGACTTACTATTGTCTGGAAACATTGCAAGTTGTATGAGCCATGGTTTTATGCTCTGCTTAGCACTAAATGACACCACTAAAAATATTTCTCACTTCTTCAAGTACTCAGGTTGCCACTAACATACGTAGTCAAAAGTGCACGGTCTTTTTTTTTTTTACGTTCAGCATAGTCTGTCTACTCAATATCTACCTATCCATGCTGTTTATAATATTAGAAAATTGTCAGGACTGCCTCCCAGTGACACATTTTGGGTTTCTCCAAAAATTGACCAGCCAATCCCCAAAAATTGACCAGCCAATCCGACAACCCGAGTTGTAGATAGCTGAATTTAGCTTCATAGCTAGTCACTAATACGAGACGCAGCCCTACAGCGTCATCAGTGTTGGATCATAAACTAGGTTTCTGCTCCGTAGGTATGTCAACAGGTTTCCTGCCAAATAAATGTCTTCTCTCACAAATCTTTGTCATACTTTTTACGGGAGAGAAAATCCCTTTCTTTCTTTCGGCAACTTCAATACCTAGGAGTAGCAAGGACGCTCAAGTTCTTAGATTTTTTTTTTTAAGTTCTTGCAGTATCATTACCTGGCAAATATAATACTGTCCAGGTATGCTATAATAATCGCAATGCTACCTGAGCATCTTCGCATCAAGTTGAACATTGGCCAATCAATACTCAAAATCATTATTTAAAAAAAAGGGCCCTGATGGAGTTGAGAGTCATTATTTGGGACGACCAACAGGAGACAACGTTCAAAGTAGTTAATTTTAAAGCAATTGGAAAATTTTCATATTTTCCTTCAGCAGGCATATAGCAGCATATGGGCAAAAACTAACTGTGCAGTATGCTGCCCTAGTGCAAAAGCAATAATAAAAGCAGCATGTGAAATGTATAATATGGTAGACACTCATTCATTATAAAATTGCATGTTCACTATAAATTGTTGCACTAAAAGAAGAAGGC